CCCTGTATTTATTTGACGTACAGCTCTGCGACTCGTATTGTATCTATCACATACTAGCCTACAAAAGTACAACATCTGTCAACTCTCCTCAATCTGTCAATCACAAATTAAGCACTTAATTGTCATTGTCAGATTTTCGCGGTAGTGACTGTGAAGTCGGCACAAGGGTGGCCAAGACCTTTGACATGAGCGCCATGTAGCGTGAAATCGAGTTTTGGCTTCGACTAGTTGCGTTTTGACGACTACTAGTCGTATTTTGCCGACTGATCTGATAACGACGAGGACTAATCGTGTTTTGAATTCGACGAATCTGATAACGACGACGACTAATCGTGTTTTGAATTTTTGAATAAACCGCCGCCCATACTATGTATGGTGAGTTTCGGTGATGTTACAAGCTTATTTTACCATCTTGGCTCTTTTGTAAACGTCCTCTTTAGAAGTCAGTGTTGGGAGAGTGATGGAGCTTGACCTTGACCTCGTTTCAGACACATTGTCTCGAATCAAATCTGGTTTTCCTGTGTTGAAGAGACCGGTTAAATTCCGTTTAACCGCCATGGTGGAATGCCTTGCACCAACTGGAAGTGCATGTTTTCCATAGAACCTGGGCGATTCCAGCAGAGGTTTCCAGGTAAGAAACAAGGTAACATACAATATCAGTATTATCAACAATACTGTGAATACTGTTCCTGGTGACACCAGATGCCCCATATTACCTGAAAATATTTTAGTACTAAAAACGTTGTTTAATTTAACTATTTAGTGGGATTCATCAAATAATTATAAAACAGTATTCACGAGATTGAAGATAAACCATATTGTCGATTTATTGTAAGGAGGAGCCTTATATATATATATATATATATATATATATATATATATATATATATATATATATATATATATATATGTACAAGGTCGTCTATTGGTCTGCACATTCACCTGTCAGAGTAAATAAAACAATGACTAATTTCACTGATAAGCCGCCAATCAGAATAGTAATATTCTAAGCTACACGAACGTATTCAAACTGGCACACCCAATTGTAATTTTATTATATGGAACATTTTCTGGAAGAAAGAAATCTCATTTAACACAATGCTAGTGAGTTTCACCCTTCCCCTTTTTCACGAACAAGATTTCCCCTTGAAACGGGCCTGGCGTAGTACAGAGGGTGCATCACAAAATCTCCCACCCACTTGGCCACCATGAAGCCATCATGATGGGAAAAAGAAACTGGTAATCTCCATCTGGAAGAGAGATTCTTTTATTTCTTTGGTTTTATTTCATTTTAATTACCAAAAGGACCCCTTAATATAACATTTTTTTCCTCAAAATTCACCATTTTTCTTTCAGAGGACATCCTCCCTTAAACCTGAAACAATTGTATTTATTTATTTATTTATTTATTTATTTATTTATTTATTTCTCTTGAAGAAAGAAAACTATTGGTGACCATTTACCCTAACAAACTAACTTACTAAAATGTATAGCTATGTATCTTAAATATGAAAATCAAGCAGTGACTTCAGAGTGCTATAAATACACAACCAAAGCTTCATTCCTTTTAAACACAAACTATAGTCACTGTATGGTCAGTAAATACATACCAAGTGGTACTAATTTTTTTGTTGTTGTTGTGCCAAAACTAGGAAAGGTCATGATATTTTCAGCATTTATTAAAACATAATTTTCCTAAAATATCCTAAATTTCATTGCAATACCTTCTGTTGGCGTTATTGAACTTTGAAGTTAGTAACCCAATATAGTTAGTGTTCCCACCCTTACCGCAGGTATGTAAGTCGTGAAAAGGGTGTGTATGAGCGCGCGTGCGTGTGAGTGTGTGTGTGGGTGCGTGTGTGAGAGATAGAGAGAAAGAGGGAGAGAGGGCGTGTGTGTGTGTGTGTGTGTGTGTGTGTGTGTGAGAGAGAGAGAGAGGGGAGAGGGAGTGAGTGCGCCCGCGTGAGATAGGGAGTGGGCAGAGTGTTTGATAGAGAGTGTTTGTGTGTGTGTGTGAGAGAGAGAGAGAGAGAGAGAGAGAGCGTTTTTTAGTTTGAATTCTGGTCTCTTATCTGTCCAGTATGAACTGTTTTTCAAACAAAAAAAAATCTTCACAGGCTCTTATATATATATATATATATATATTTTTTTTTTTATATCGTCTTTCCTTTTATTACAAAGCTCCAAGGTTTTTTTTCCGCCATTCCAATATTCTAAAAGTATTCCTTTGCTGGGAGATGCTAGAGTTTGTTCGTAGGAAAGGCCAAGGAGGCAAAAATATTTTTTTAAATGGCGTAGCTTGGCTGGTTTTATTTTAAACAAACACATGATTGAAAATCTGTTTGGTTTTGTTCTGTCTAGTTTATTATTCCTTTTTTTCTGGGGGGGGGGGGGGGTCTGCAGATAAGGTGGCAAGTAGCCCGGTGTGCCCCCAAAATCCGCCATCGGATTTATGAACCTATTTGCAGACAGTTAAGTCAAATATGCTTTTCGTTTCTTGTTGTATAATGATGATAAATTAAACAAGTAAATGCTCATGGGTAGAAAACATGTTTGTTCCCTTTAAAAAAATTAAATTTTTCATAATTTCAGACCATCTTACTTTGCATAAGACCTTCACAAATCAAAGCAAAATACCCTGGGAATTGACAGGAAATTTCCCTTTTTATCAAGTTGCACCAAATCCCAAGCCATTGACAAATAACGATCTATAATTCGGTTTTGATTTCAAAATTTCCCATTTCTTCTGTCACCACTGCGATTTATCAACATTTTATCGCCGTAAAAACACAAAGCTGTATATTTAGCAGTTTAAGGACATATACCCTGAAATATAAGAATATAAGTTTATTTGAATTGGGAAATGATTACGAAATCCGTATTATTCAAGATGTCGGAATCATCCACTCCAATGGACGATCTATAATAGAATAAAATGTTTAAAGTTACATCTCCTGTATGATTTTTGGTGAGCAGACTAAAATCGGGGCCTAAGTAAGATCACTACCTGTGCCTTATTTTCTGGTCACAATTCGGACGAAGAAAGCCGAGGTACATGTCTGTAGTTACTCATTGCACATATGGCGTTATAGCGTTCTGTGTGTAAAAGAGTCACTATTCCAGAATTATTTGTCTACACAACGTCACTGAAGGTCACGATTGCCTTTGGTTAATGGTAAGTCGTCAGTTCTTTGAAATAATTCATTTGGCAGCACGCAGAGTCAGTGTTACGCACATCTTTTTAAATTTTAACAACAGTCTGATACTTATATGATTTAGTGGCACGCAACGGATTTCAAATAAGAGGGAGCTTTTCTACAGTTTTACAGCCCTCTTAATACTTTCGTCAAATATCTAATACGGAATTTTCGGGTCAAAACAAATCGCACTACTCCTCAATCATAACTTAACCCTCCTTGCATTCGGATGCCATTTCTAATTAATTATCTAAGTCTTTAAGGAATCATGATTGACACATAACAGTACGTTGTGTAATAGCACTGCCCACTTTTTAAACATGATTCTTTTTATTTTAATCTAAGTTAATCATAGTCTAAAATATTAAATGAATTGTTACCCTGAACAGCTTCCGAGATTTCTCAACGTTCTCTTAAGTTGCCAAGATGAGAGTTATATTACATTCACTCCACTGCATCATCGTATTCCTCACTCATCATGTTCATAATTAAAAAGTTTAAAATCTTGGCTGTAAATTCTCTTTAATTCTGCAATCTGCTGGAGCGACAGTGTTTTAAAGGCCTCTTTGACGTGTCCAAATGTTTTTCGTTTCATAGAAGAAGGATAGAGAATTTTCTGGCGAATACCGACGTGTTTTGCTACTTGGTCAAGATCTTCATCGAAGGTTTCCAATTTGCCTATGATGTCATAGCGCACCTGGCAGGGAAAGCACTGTTCTGATATAGGCAACCAGTGTATGTCTACATAGCTATCAACTTTCCAGGAGCCATCTTTTGTACGTTTTGAATGGTCAATGACAAACTGAATAAAATCCCGAAAGGGGAACAGTTGGGTGAGATTTTGGGAAGGATGTCGCGGAATCTCTGGGCGATGGTACAGACGCCGAACGCGATTGAATATATCCCAAGAAGATCTACTAACATCGGTACCTTCGTAGGAGAAAATTTGGAACATCATTCGATAATATGAGACGAGACGTTCGAAGGGGTGTCGCACAAAGAGAATTTTAGTGTAATTTTCCAGCAGACGTTTTGTGGTTTCTTCAAAGTTCTTTATAGCTGGGGTGAGGTACTGGTATAGGGTTCTTTCTTCACGCCAAACTTGGTGAGCTTTGTTAGACATAAAATCCAAGTCGGAGGTAATGTTTTTCTGTTTATTGGCTACAATGAACAATCGTTTGACATTTGTGGATCCTGCCTTAGGAATTTGACAGAAAAGAACCTTGTATTTGTCCTCAATTAGGAATTGGATTGGCACTACAAGTCTTTTACGCAGCAGTTCTGTTACAGCTTTGACGTCTGCATCTGGAGATGTGGTAATGTTACAAGCTGATTTTACCATCTTGGCTCTTTTGTAAACGTCCTCTCTAGAAGTCAGTGTAGGGAGAGTGATGGTGCTTGAACCTGACCTTGGCCTCGTTTCAGACACATTGTCTCGAATCAAATCTGGTTTTCCTGTGTTGAAGAGACCGGTTAAATTCCGTTTAACCGCCATGGTGGAATGCCTTGCACCAACTGGAAGTGCATGTTTTCCATAGAACCTGGGCGATTCCAGCAGAGGTTTCCAGGTAAGAAACAAGGTAACATACAATATCAGTATTATCAACATTACTGTGAATACTGTTCCTGGTGACACCAAATATCCCATATTGCCTGAAAATATTTTAGTAACAAAAACGTTATTAATTAAATCTATTTAGTAGGATTAATGAAATAATTATAAAACAGTATTCTCGAAGATAAACCATATTGTGAATAAGTCCCAATAAAATACACAGATACTGGCTAAGAACTAAAGGGGAGGATTTATTGCTAGGCGGAACCTTATATAAATGTACAAGCTCGTCTATTGATCTCCACATTCACCAATCAGAGTAAATAAAACAATGACCAGTTTCACGGATAAGCCACCAATCAGAATAGACTATACAAATCTACGCGAACGTATTCAAACTGGCACACCCGAATGTAATTGTATTACACAGAACATCTTTAGGAAGAAAGAATCTCAATTAACACAATGCTAGTTTGTTACAGCCTTCCCTTTTTGACAAACAAGATTTTCCCTTGAAACATGGCCAGATTTCTCGTAATAAACGGGAATCAAGTAGAACCAGACGCAATGAAGAATTTCCAAATGCGAAGGGCTAAAAATATATGTCAAAATATTTGCAGAGTTGTAGAAAAGAATGCCGTTTCAGGTCTGTCAGAAGTTTCAGAGGGGGAGGGGGTCTTTTCTGAAAAAGTGGTCATTTTACCATAAAAACATCATGTACCTAGATTTTTATCGAGACTGAAGCTTTTCCCAGCAAAAGGGACGATTCTTTCTAACCCCCTAGTAAATACACTTTAGCACGTGACTTTTAGCAAATAATCAAAACTGCCGTTCCAACACATGGCAGAAAGTAAAAAAAAATCTGAAAAATTAGTTCGTTTTTTTTTTTTTTTTTTTTTTTTGCACATTTAGTCTTATTAAAACAATATACAGCTTCTATATTTATGTTCATTATCATATTTCTTTAGCCATGACTCTCACTTTGCTCACGTGGCCCCTGCGATTTGCAAGGCAGATTTGCGCATTTCCATTGCAGCCTTTCCTCTACTTCTACAACCTCCACGGCCTCCTCTGCACCCACATTGTCAGGGGACGTCCGGTAATGAACAAGGCTCTTCCAGCTTTGTTCTAAACAAGGGAAATTGCCGAAAACAAGTTACAATACCTGTAGATATCTGCCGAGTTCAGCTTTGGTTGTGCAGGGAGCTATCTTCTATAATATATTATAATATATCCGCTGCATAATTTAGATGTAGAGCCCGTATTTCAGTGAGCACGGGCATGGAAATCACCTGAAATGGTGCCGAGCTTCTTTGAAGCTAGATATAACATCTGCGACATTTAAGTTAATCATTTGAAGTATTGCAAAAGCGAACATCAACGCTAAATTTCGGTTCGGAGCAATAGTTGGTACTACGGGCCTGGCGTGGTACAAAGGCTGCGTCATAGAATCTTCCACCCACTTGGCCACCATGATGCCCACCATGATGGGAAGAAGAAACTGGATGTCGTTGGTGATCTCCATTTGAAAGAGAGATTCTTTGATTTCTAGTTTTATTTCATTTTAATTATCAAAAGGACCCCTTAATATGACATTTTTCCTCAAAGTTCACCACTTTTTCTTTCAGAGGATTTCCACCGTTTAACCTGAAATAATTGTATTTATTTATTTATTTATTTATTTATTTATTTATTTATTTATTTCTCTTGAAAAAAGAAAACTATTGGTGACCATGTACACGAAGAAACTAACTTACTAAAAATGTAGAGCTATGTATCTTAAATATGAAAATCAAGCAGTGTGTCTTCAGAGTGTTATAAATAAAATACACAACCAAAGCTTCATTCCTTTTAAACACAAACTATAGTCACTGTAAGGTTAGTAAATACATACCAAGTGGCACTAATGTTTTTGTTGTTGTTGTGCCAAAACTAGGAAAGGTCATGATGTTTTCAGCATTTATTAGAACAATTTTCCTATAATATCCTAAATTTCATTGCAATACTTTCAAAACTGTTGGCGTTATTGAACTTTGAACTTAGTAACCCAATAAAGACAGTATCCCCACCCTTACCGCAGGTATGTAAGTCGTGAAAAGGGTGTGTATGAGCGCGCGCGTGTGAGTGTGTGTGTGTGCGTGTGTGAGAGATAGAGAGAGAAAGGGAGAGAGGGCGTGTGTGTGTGTGTCTGTGTGTGTGTGTGTGTGTGTGTGTGTGTGTGTGTGTGTGTGAGAGAGAGAGAGAGAGAGAGAGAGGGCGTGTGTGTGTGTGTGTGTGCGTGTGTGCGTGTGTGTGCGTGTGTGTGAGAGAGTGTGTGTGTGTGTGTGTGTGTGTGTGTGTGTGTGTGGAGAGAGAGAGAGAGAGAGAAAGAGAGGGAAGAGGGAGTGAGTGCGAGCGCGTGAGATATTAAGTGGGCAGAGCGTGCATGTTTGATGAGAGAGAGAGTGTGTGTGTATGTGTGTGTGTGTTAGTGTGTGTGTGTGTGTGTGTGAGAGAGAGACAGAGAGAAAGAGCGCTACTACGTATATTTTTTGTCAATGAATATTTTAGTTTGAATTCTGAATCTCTTAGCTGTCCAGTATGAACTGTTTTTCAAACAAAAAAGATCTTTACAGGTTCTTAAATACCTCCACCAAGGAGGTTATGGTTTCACCCCTGTTTGTTTGTCTGTCATCAACATAAATCAAAAAGTTATCGATGAATTTCAATGGAATTTTCAGGGTAGGTCAGAAATGGGTTAACTTAGAAGTGATTGTTTTTGGTGGTGATCTGGATCAATAATCAATCAATAATCAATAATAATAAAAAATTGCTGCCTTGGCGGAGGTCTGCGCTCTCGGAGTGCTTTTCTAGTTGTTATATATAAAGCTCCAATATTCTAAAAGTGTTACTTTGCTGGAAGATGCTAGAGTTTGTTCGTAGGAAAGGCAAAGGGGACAAAATTATTTGTAAAAACGGCGTAGCTTGACTGGTTTCATTTAAAACAAGCACATGATTGAAAATTTGTTTGGTTCTGTCTCGTCTCGCTTATTATCACTTTTTTCGGGGGGGGGGGGGGGATTTGTAAACCTATTTGCAGACCGTTCAGTCAAATATATTTTTCATTCTCTGTTGTATAATGATGATAAATAATCAAATGCTCATGGGTGGAAAGCATGTTTATTCCCTTTCAAAACAATTAAATTTTTCATATTTCCAGGCCATCTTACTTTGCGTAAGACCTTCACAAATCAAAGCAAAATAAGTTCCCTGGGAATTGACAGGAAATTTCCCTTTTTATCAAGTTGTACCAAATCCAAAGCCATTGACAAATAACGATCTATAACCCGGTTTTGATTTCTGTTTCTCATTTCTCCTGTCACGAATGATAATAATTATCATTTTATCTCTGTAAAAACACAAAGCTGTATATTTAGCAGTTTAAGGACATATATCCTGAAATATAAGGCAGTTTATTTGAAGTGTGAAATGATACACGAAATCCAAGATTTGTCTTCTTACAGCCTTCTAAATATTTTGGTTCAGTATCTAATACAGGATTTTCTCGCCAAAACAAATCACCCTACTCAAGAATCATAGCTTGACCCGTCTTTACGTTTGGACCATGTTTTGTTCCATTTCTAATTAATTATCTTAATCTCTAAGGAATCATGACTCACACATTGCAGTACGCTGTGTAATAACACTGCCCACTTTTTAATCATGATTCTTTTTATTCTAATCTAAGTTATTCATAGTCTAAGATATTAATTGAATTGTTACCCTGAACAACTTCGGAGATTTCTAAACGTTCTCTAAGTTGCCAAGATGAGAGATATTAAATTCACTCTACTGCATCTTCATAATTAAAAAGTTTAAAATCTTGGCAGTAAATTCTCTTTAATTCTGCAATCTGCTGGAGCGACAGTGTTTTAAAGGCCTCTTTGACGTGTCCAAATGTTTTCCGTTTCATAGAAGAAGGATAGAGAATTTTCTGGCGAATACCGACGTGTTTTGCTACTTGGTCAAGATCTTCGTCGAAGGTTTCCAATTTGCCTATGATGTCATAGCGCACCTGGCAGGGAAAGCACTGTTTTGATATGGGCAACCAATGTATGTCCACAAAGCCATTAACTTTCCAGGTGCCATCTTTGGTATGTTTTGAATGGTCAATGACAAACTGAATAAAATCCCGGAAGGGGAACAGTTGGGTGAGATTCTGGGAAGGATCTCGCGGAATCTCTGGGCGATGATACAGACGCCGAACGCGACTGAAGAGGTACCAAGAAGATCTACTAACATCTGTACCTTCGTAGGAGAAAATTTGGAACATCATTCGATAATATGAGACGAGACGTTCGAAGGGTGTCGCACAAAGAGAATTTTAGTGTAATTTTCCAGCAGACGTTTTGTGGTTTCTTCAAATTTCTTTATAGCTGGGGTGAGGTACTGGTATAGGGTTCTTTCTTCACGCCAGACTTGGTGAGCTTTGTTAGACATAAAATCCAAGTCGGAGTTAATGTTTTTCTGTTTATTGGCTACAATGAACAATCGTTTGACATTTGTGGATCCTGCCTTAGGAATTTGACAGAAAAGAACCTTGTATTTGTCCTCAATTAGGAATTGGATTGGCACTACAAGTCTTTTACGCAGCAGTTCTGTTACAGCTTTGACGTCTGCATCTGGAGACGTGGTAAAGTTACAGGCTGATTTTACCATCTTGGCTCTTTTGTAAACGTCCTCTATCGAAGACAGTGTTGGGAGAGTGATGGTGCTTGAACCTGACCTTGGCCTCGTTTCAGATACATTGTCTCGAAACAAATCTGGTTTTGCTGTGTTGTTGACACCGGTTAAATTCCGTTTAACCGCCATGATGGAATGGCTTGCACCAACTGGAAGTGCATGTTTTCCATAGTACCTGGGCGATTCCAGCAGAGGTTTCCAGGTAAGAAACAAAGTAACATACAATATCAGTATTATCAACAATACTGTGAATACTGTTCCTGGTGACACCAGATGCCCCATATTACCTAAAAATATGTGAGTACTAATAACTTTGCTGTCACCTTGATTGGTTGTCGTAAAATCGCCACATGATTTAAAAAACAACCGGTGGATAGTCTTTAAAACCACATAAGACGATCTTAGAGTGCAATACTAGTGTACCATAAAGCAAAGATCCTTTCAAAATCGGTAAAAGTATTCAAAATGAATGTCGTTAAATCCCCTTAGGGTCCCATAAAGGCAATAAAATATGCAGAGCTCTCTCTTTATGCAAAGGACAGCCCACGTGATACCTACAGGCGCTTGCGCAATATAGAACTTAACCGGAGCTTGGGGGCATCAGGCCTGCAGTGCATACTTAGCTGTGGAGCAGACAGCATGTAAAAATGGCCAATTTTTATTGTGTAACTGGCTTTTTATCACGGAAATAAACAAATAATTGTCTCAAACTCTTCAGAACACCACCCGAGAGGTTCAGACGTGATAAATGGCTAGCAGCTACCAACAGCCCAGCGGGCAAATTATGTTGTTTTAACGTTGAAAGAACGTTGAACCATAACGTTGATAATAACTGAAAAATTGGATTAACATTGGATTTGAAAGTTGACTCAACCTCAGATAACAACGTTGTATCAACGTCAGATATCAACATTTTATCAACCCCAGTTGTTAGACAACATTCTTGCATGAAAAGACATTAAAGCAATAATAACTCTTCCTTTGAGATTCAAAATTCCGCAAGAAATTCATTGTAAACAACGCATGGAAATATATTCTATTGTATTTTACCACTAAAACGGTCGTTATTGTAGTAAAACTAAAATCTGTGCTTGTCAATAGGGCTTTCGATGCCTTTCTTCCCGGTCGTTAAGGCATCCGTTGCCAATGACGTTGGGATGTCACGCGGATTCTTGCGTTCATTCGAGACCAAAATAACTTCTGGCGCGAAAAGCCTGATGTAATACGCAGACGTAGGTTGCGAGTTTTTGTACAGTGCGTTGGATAACGAAAAGCCCAGAATAGCACACATTGTAGATATAAATGCATTTTGAGCAATAAGACCAATATATCTTATGAATCTTATATTATTGTTATGTAGTGTTGTTGTTGTCTGCTTTTCCCGCGGTTTTAAGTAGGTCACCATAAACTATCGCTCGATATCGCGTGACTATGCAATGTCAGAGTGGGCTCCGTCAGTTAAAATCTCTTAAGAGATTTTAACAAAAAACCAAACGTTTAGGAAAAAACCCTGGACTAACTTTGAATGCACGAATGGGGTCGCTGACCATTGGTAAGTACGGGAAAGTTCCCGTGCACTCCAGGAAAATCCAATTTTTGGCCAAAATGAAGAGTTTTTATGACTTTAAAATGACCTGAAATGTTTTTATTTTTGGTACAAAACACAGGCACACAATTATAACGTACACTGTAAAAACATCCAAGTGCCTGCTTTGTCTGATTTTTTCAACGCATTTAGCTCCTAAGCATGTTTTGCACCTAAGCATGGTACACCCTTTTAGCCGGGGTGTGTTTAGCAGTAGGCCATGATGTTTGATGGCTAAATGTATGTAGGGTGACTGTAAAATCAGTGTTTAGCTCCTAAACAGATTTCTAAGCGCCTGTTT